GTGAACTTTTACTGTGTAATCGAGGAAAACTTCAAGTCGCAATAGCTGCATGCCGCTTCGGGCTCCCATGCACAGGACTATTATGGTCGTGTGTGGGCACGGGACGTTTAAAAGTTGCACCGTGGAAAATTACACTTATACGAAGTCACTTACCATTGTACCGGCATGGCCCCCGTGCCTCTGAAAGCACAGTATAAACATGGCATGCAGCTGAATGCTGGAAATTTTCACGAGACGAACGCATTGCGGTTTTAATGAATGTTTTTACGTCAACGGCCAGCAATTAAGGAAGGCGTAACCGCAGGGTGACGACGGCAAACAGAACGAGAGATAAAAACACGTCGCGTCGGTACCATCCAAGACGTGTGTTACACGTCAGTTATGTGATTCGCGTATAAGTAGAAAATTTAATCAGACGCAGATATGTCTCGAATAATAAAGAGATCTACGAAACTACCTAACCTAACCTTCGTTACGTTACGCGTAACCTAGCTTGACGCTAGTGCTAAGCAGTACAGCCATTACACGCCACGTGTTAAAAGTACATGAATACCTTTTACACGTAACTCGTTGCAGTTTAGATACGAGTATCCCTTATGGTGGTATGCGACGCCTTTGGACCGTTATTGGCTGAAGAGGGAAACAGGTGAGCTCAGAATTAACGAGTTTGTTCAGTTTTTTACATGGGAAATAAAACGTATTTTCTAAAAGACTCGTAATTTCACTTTGTCACAGAGATTCCATTAGATTTACGAGAAGCTACTGAACCGAGGAAGCCAGTGTATTTTTTTTTACTTTTTTTTTTGTTATCGTATGGTAAATTATGGATAGTACAGAGGAGTTGGATGTCGGGAATGTAGCTGCTCCCATGCTTCCACGGACATCCCTCTATAGATTTTTCCTCTCGATATCATTGACAAATATGACGTTTGACTGTATCCAGTGCTCGCCCACCGTGGAACGAAATTTTCACATACTGTAACTTTATATATAGAATTTAATATCATCGGATACAAATATTTATTTGGATCTAGTAGCTACATTTTGTTTTTCACTTTTGAATTTTTATATTACTCGACAGTACCTATAGGTTTTGCCACAGCCCGTGGAAGTCCTGTTTCTATGGAAACTACCATGTTCAGGATCCATTTGTTCCATTACGCTCCGCTCGTTACTCTCGTGTTCTCGGTTTTAAAATCACGGCGGTCAGGAACACGAGACTGAGAAGTTTTATGTTCCGTTACGTGCCTGCAGTGATGCCATGTTTTGCTATTTTATTATAATCGCGTAAATGTAAATACTTAATAATACCGAATAATGCCGAAACACAGATTTGCCCCATATTTATTTATTTGTAACGAGACTACTATAAACTATTTGTAGAATTCTATATGATTAGATAAATATTTTTTTCAGAATTTTCAAATATTTTTAATTAGCGTGTAGAAATATTATCGGATACAGAAAATCTATACACGTCAATCTTGTTACAGTAGCTGCACAGGTGCAAACTGCATGAACAATCTCAAAAAATCCATGCAGATTTACGGTCGCTTCGGATGATATTATATTTACACGTAAAGTGCAGCTCTTAATTCCAATGTGACGGATGTTCGTTGAAACGAGTTACGATAGTAAAAAGGATTTACGAGGAGATCATTACGATCGAAGAGTAGGGAAGATCCCGGATGTTTCATATTTTCCTGGAAATTCGTGAAACGATCCAGCATAAGATTAAGGACGTTAGATCCGTACGTTTTGATTTAAATTAATAGCTGTTTTGGAATTTCCTGAATTTTCCATGTTACAATGGTCGATATCCAGAGCCAAGTGCTCGACTGATTTATAAAGGATGGGTGACAGGGCCTGACTGAGATCGAGACAGCGTAATCAGTTGAGTCGGATTCCGAGTCTCCCTATTTTAAGGGGTTGCTGTTGCGAGAATGTAAGGGATTCAAACCCCTTAAGTAGGTAACTAGACCATCAATCTTCGTGCTCACCTCGCGGGAACGCATCTCCCAGGATGTTCCCAATATTTCTACTCATCGCGACCAAGTGCTACGAATTATTCGGATAGCAGACACATCGTATACACAGCCCGAAGCTATCATAGGTTTTTCATTCCTGAAGAGGCCATAACGTTACACGACTTTACGACGTCAAAATAAGGAAGGATGTAAAGAATGAATGTAATACCCGGCTGTTACGGGAGATGCACTTACAGCCCTTCTCTCATTCGACAGATGGGGATGATCGCGACGTACTCCTCGAATAAGTCAATTTCCATTCACATGCCGATTTTATTGCACACTTCGCAGCAGACGTAAAATATCGTGAGATCATTTTTCAATTTTCATTTCACTCAAGCGTTTCTTTTTCTAATTTCAAAGTAATTTTCTGAAATAGAAAAAAAAAATTTTTAATAAAAAAAAACAAGATCAGTCAACAAGTCAATATGATAATTTGTTCAAAAATTCAATGAAATTAGCATTATGCGGATTTACTTATTCCTGCGGAATACCAGTAGTTCTCGATTCGTGCTGACGTTTACAAGATGCGACACGGAAATACGTCGAAATTTCCACATACGAATTGCATGTAGCGTAATGTGTCAAAATGAAGACGTGCAGATCGAACGAGACAGGATGTTAGTTCTAGATGGGGGCAAAGGAGGGTGAATACGCATGGCAGTGTAGGCGATATTGTTATATATGTTATATATGTACTATATATAGGTAAAGGTGAAGGTGTAGGTACATATATATATAGGTATAGTAAGAGAGGAGTTATCAATCAGGATGACAGCGATACAGAAGAGCGGCGGGCCGCATTAGTCTCCGCCGTCCGGATTCATTCACGCTGCCAATCACTGCGAAACTTCAAGTCCCGCGGGATCCCCTCGCCGCTCAGCCCCTATCCGGAATTCTCAAAGAACCACCGGAGTCCGTAACTCCGAATCAGACGGCTGGATGCAGGGTGAGGGATGCTCGTCGCATTCACCCGCCATTAAACAGCTAAGTGGCGAACACATATATCGTCTTAGGGCTCTTTCCAACGGCGTGACAATTTCCGAGCAATTCGCGACTCTCTTACGCTGCCTATACATATCAATCTCGACTCGCGAACTGCCAGGATCGCATTTGGGAATCGGGGGGATGAAATGATCTTTTTTAAATCTGTACAATGACTTATGGAATATAATATAACGTAAGACAAATTCCTTGCACCCCTGGTTCAATTTTTACGTCTTGTTATAGTTATATAGCTTTTGTTTCTTATTGCTCCACAAATCACTGCATAACGATGTTACTGTGCTATGACTACAACTTTTTATCGAATATCTTCCGCGAGCATGATTTTCCAGTACTTTCCCTCGTGCGGGATTCAGTTTTAGAGTAGGGGATCAACTTATGTAAAAAGTAGGTAACATTTAATTTCACTGCAGAGGGGAAACACGACTTTTTCGAGGAGTAATTTATATGAATATTCAGAGGATTTAGGGTAGCTGCATATACATACATATATATATATATATATGTATGTGTATAAACATATTATTTAAGAATTTGTAATATTAACCTATTCCTACTTCAATGCATGCACTACGTTATTACCATCTTGGCGCCTTTAGTACCACGAGTAACTTTAAACGGTTTGTTAGTGAGTCCAATGTCAGTTTAAAATTCTTTGCATGGAAACGAGCACCGAGTATACGTATACATATATGTATACGTATAAGAATACGTTCGAGAGACTTTAATACCCTACAATTATCCAGCAATTTATAATACAGCTGGAGAAACCGGTGCTTAGAAAATGGCTTACGTTAATCGAGATAGATATTATTCTCGCGTTGAAATTAATCTGTTAAATGCACCTCCTCGGTCATTCTGATAATTGCATAAACAATATATAATTTACTCGACGGAACCAAAGTACTTGCACACTTAGAATCGTCAGTCGATTCGTGAAATTTAAGTAACTGCACAGCTGTCAATCCATATAATATTTGTTAGAAAAATATTTGCGACAATAAAACGAACTAAATAGTGGCATCAATTAATCAGGTATCATTACGTCAGATATCGATTTTCCTATTCACGTCATCGGTCCCTGCATTCGTCCAATGATGGTTTTATAATTTTTCTGCGTGTACGACAGATATATAGCTATATTCTCAAAGTCAATACTGGAGCTTTCGCATCCGAAAAATACCAGCAGGCCAGTATCGGCTAAATGCAATTCCAATTAATTTAACTATTTTGCGGAATTTCCAACTCGCTGAAATCTAGACGGGCAGATACAAAACTTTCGCTCTTCCTATCTCTTTCTCTCTCCTCTCTGTCGAATTGAAAGCTGCATGTATATGTATGTATATCTGTCTTCCTGATATTTTTCCATTGGACAAGAGTCCACAATATTTCCTGAAACTATTGAAAAATTCACGGCCTTCGTATATGCTTCATTTAACACGGGACCGTCTGTCGTGTCAATCCCAAGAGTTGTTCCTGCGCCACTGTATCTTTCGCATTGTTGTCTTATTTTTTTCTATTAAATGAAAAATGAAAAAAGTATCCCACAAAGATACAACGTGAAAACGATTCCTAATCGCTTCCTTTTCAGGTCACAGCCACATTTCTTCATACGACCCAAACATACGTAAGCTTTCTGTCTGATTAAAATTGTTCTAAAAAACTGTTCAAAAGGGAAAAGCATTGCCCTGAAAATAATGTCGTAACTACTCTCACGTTAAAATATATAGCATCGACATGCTCTGAATGTATCATACATATGGCAGAGTCTCATGCGGTGTGGCCGAGTTTCTTTGTGGATCGCGTCAGCAAGCAGCCAAAGTCGACAAAGACAGCGTAAAATTTTGTGTCGCTACCCTAAGCTTGCAGAGAGTAAGTTGTCAAGGAGAAAGACATACGAAAAAAGGAAAAAAGAAAGAAAGAAAAAATACAAAAAGAAATAAATTTGTCAACATTGACTTCACTCACTTTTCCATCTGGGCTGCATACTTTGATCCCCGCTAGCGAGATGATAAGAAGAACGGAGGTGGACCGATCGCTGTACTGAAACAAGACAAATTTCATCATACAGGATGACTCGATGAATGCGGATGTGCAGTGTAGATAACGAGTATCTAAATAACAGTGTCGTAATAAGGCAAGATGCAAGTGAACGATGCATGTAAATTTACTTATAGTATTAAAATTCTTATTATAATTTTTTGGTACCGTAAGTTTACCCTCGTAGCTAATTGGCTATAAAAGTGTGAAATTTAAGAGCCAACTGCGATAGTCACGCCGAGTAACTAGATGGGAATTAATTAAGCGGTAGAAAGGTTCAATGTACATTCAAGGTAGGTAGGTACATATAGGTGGACGTTCAAGATGAGTATTTACAGTACGTAATTTAGTTCCATTTTCCGCGACTGAGAAATTTGAATCACGTCTATGCTTTCTGGTGATCATGGACTAGGTGAAGATTAAACGATTATCCGGTATCCCTGTAAGTCAATTGAACGTACTCGTTTAATGGCCTTTAACGGGATATCGTCGGTTAGCCATTGTGCATTAAACGTATAACGGAAATCCATTAAGATATTGCTCTGTAACGCCTTAATTGGCTTGCCGAGTGGGAAATGCACCTGCCTAGCAATACCATGACCTCTGACCTGTAACGCTAAAAGCTCGTGACACGTAAAATTTGAACGTCCACGGATTTATTTGTTGATGACAGTAATCTTTATGGATTTGAAACCAAAATGAAACGTATCCTCAATTTCTTTTTTTTGGACGTACGACAGAGTGCATGTAAAAATGTTTATATAGATTTATTCATTTTAACGTAAAATTTCATATTTTTTCTTCTGCCATTCGTTAGGATGTTCCGGAATGAAAAATAAAGCCGTGTAATTTTTTGTTTTCCTACTTCCTCCTTTCGTCTAAATCCACCCCTGACACGGGGCGAACATAAGAGATGCGAGCGGCAAGCGATTGCTTAATTCTGGGTTTGAGAAGTTGGCAATGCAAACGGCAAATTAGGGTAGAATTTGGAATGGCGGGTGGCTTCAGAAGAATTCCTGATTCCACGGAGTCGCATTGTCTTAATACTCGCTGAGGTGGGTAGCGAGGGTCGTGAATCTATAGAGTGAACGACTGTCGAGTAAAAGAGGAAAAAAGAGATAAAAAGAGATTGTAGCAATAATTACTATAACGGAAGGGGATGGTTTCGCGATGAAGAATGCCTGAACACAATGTAATGCTACTACTCTATAGGGTGATCGCTGTCACGTTTCCAAGACAACATCGTAATTCCAATATACCCATAATACAATTCTCAAATGATTTACTCACCCCCTTCAACAAAAACGTCACTTTCCCCTATCTCAAGTAACACTTAGTTACCACGTTAATAAAATAAAACTTTGCGAATATCGTACAGAGTGCTTTCAACTTTTCATTAATAGTACACCGTTGTCCAATCTGCATGGTATTAATGAGAAAAATATCCCACAAAGTATTTACCTTATTCCCCACATATCCCACATAATTTATGTTTCACACTTCGGGCAAAAAATCAGGGAAACAGTACTAAGCAAAAAGAAACCATGAAATACAAAAAAAAATAATTACGATAGTTTATAATATGACGAAAGAAAAGTAAGCTGCTTTCGGGACACCCGTTAGCTCGGTACCTTTGTTCAGCGAGGGTGATTAAAAAGTTGCTGAGTGAGAAGGGAGCAGCGGAGGAGAGAAAAACGTGGGATAACCCGTTGGTGGTGAATATATATAGTCATCGTGTACAACCATTAAGGGCATCGGGTACACCCCGAATGGCGAATGCCGAATAGCAAATGGCGAATGGGCTCTTGGCGTGATCACCCGACATTCTACCGTACTATTTCTATCTTTCTTTCCCAACAACCGCATCTCTTTCATCTCCACAAGAGGCGACTCTATCGTCATTTCACCTCCTTTCTTTACGATGCACTCCATTTCGACGTCTTCCTTCCTCTATAGGGTACTGCTGAGCACACTCGCTTTATTTTATTTCTCAACCCTTCACCGATACTACCAAGTGTCTCACCCTTATTTGCATAAACGTCACTCGGTCAATTAAGTTTAAACATCGGTATACTAACTTGCATCAAAACTATACTAGATCGCGGTACAAAGCATCACGTCCTACGAATTTATTGTGCAGTCCCTTGCGGTCACGGGGTGTATTCTTATAAATTGTTGAGTCATTCAGGGGGCTGGTTAACTACGGACCATAACATAACACTGATCTACGTTACTGAATTATTCAGAACGTTTACGAGCGGATCATTCAACGTGCAATCAAACGTATCCGACTCAGCGCTTCAAATTTTACTGTTCACATTAAATGTATATATATATTTTATTTTCAATAGCTTGTGTATATATATATATATAAACTATTCACGCTGCCATACGCATACTGTTTTATTCGCCTCGGTTTGCTGCTCGTTTCATGGAAAATATAACGAGACATCAGTGAGTCATCCCGCAGCAAAATATAGTACTGCTCGCTTCTGGCGAGCGGGAATATTAGGGGATGGAAAAGCGAGGGTTTGTCCTCGTCAACGAGCACGATAACTCATCCCCCCCCCCACCCCCCGCTGGTCCGATTATGAATTTATTAATTTATTACACGATCCTCGTGCCTATACGAATGTCACTCGTAGCTCCAAAGTTGAGATTAGGGGTGCATGATAAGTCATCACGCCGAACTGGATCGATTCCACCTCAAACGATACGTCTGGTTTTTCAATCTTATACCGTGGTTGATAAATTATCTAATATTAATGAAAAGTTCAAAGTTCAAACTTATGTCTCTGAACGTCATTGATCCGATAATCTTTTTCGATTCACTACCGACAGATTAAGCTGACATAATTTCAGAAGCATTAACGGGGATCCAGTGATCCGGCAACTGCAGAAACAGATTCTACGGTCATTTGCGGCGAGGGCTCAGCGGTGAGTAGTACGAAACCACTGCAAGTTCCTGGGAGCTTTGAAAGCTTTGAAAAGGCCATTATAGACGGGCGCCGTTTGCTTTATCAGCGCACTGTGCTCCGACGGGCAATTACGACGCGCTGGAAATACATGCACACACGTGGATACATGTCTATGCTTTCCCGTACATAGATTTCACGAAATGCATTGTAAATGGCTTGGCCCCAAGGGGATCTCAGTGAAGAACTGCAAGCGCAAAAGGCATAACGAATAAATTTCTCTCTCGTTATGACGAATGCCTGCATTTTTCTACGCCCGGTAAAAGCCGACTCGTGCTTTGCTACTTGTGCACGTGTATTTATGAGCGCATGGAAAAGTTTGTGTTTTTCGATGCAACCGTAGCGCCAACTTTTCCGAGTCTGCGGTGGATATCACGTACGCGTGAATCATTCTGGTTCCTGCTTAGGACTTTGTACATTTTCGTATAAGAGGATTGACGACACTGTTAGCAGCTAATGGCTGCTTCCTTTTTTACCTTACACGGTGCTCGTGTATCGCACATGCTTGGTTGGCCGAACGTACGCGACTAATGCAGGCTAAAATAAAACTTTGGTATTTTCAAGATTAAAGCAAAGTCGCGAATTTTTTTTTTTTTTTTTATTGAATACGCGCATGCGCGAGGTAACCCTTTGAGCGGGAAGATGAACGTCGTGGGAGCGTAACTAAAAATTACTTCGAGATACAAGGAGACGTCATCGCTCTTACAGGCGACGTTGGACGTTGCAGTTGCAACTGCATTAACATTTTATTGCCACGATATATTTGAATGCATCAATGGACGAAGGCCTTGGCGTTTGATTGTAGCCTGTGTATAGTTTCTTGAAAATCTACAGGAATTTCTATGCAGATGCTGTTAGAGTCTTTAAAAAATAATACGCGTTTCTATATGCGTAGTCGCGTTGACGCAAAGAACCCTATCGCGTTTTAGTTTTCTTTTTTTTTTTTTTTTTTTTTTTTTTTTTTTTTTTTTTTTTTTTTTTTTTTTTTTTTTCCTTAAAGATTCTGCAGTCTCCGCGTGGAGTAGGTCATAAATTTGCAGTCTTTGTTTCTGACAGTATACAAACTGTAGATAATACGAACCTTACACCTGTTTACCGTTCAGCATTCGCTTGGCATTTTTCTTTATGGAACAAGACATCGTCCCTATGGAGGATTCATATAAATGCCATCGCCCTGACGATACCCGAGAGTTTTCATCGCGTAATGAGGGTACTGAACGTATCCTGAAAGCGTTTTCAAATTTTCAAACCCGACCAAAAGCACACAGGCATCGTCTCTAGAACCACATCGTTTTGTTCGGTTGAGTAAAAAAGCTGCGGTTTTATCCTGATAGAGAGAACATTTTTTTCTAAAAGTCTTTATTCCCAAGACATTTTTTTCATACGTGACTGGCCTTTCTGAGATTGTGTTTAAGATCGATACAAGCGTCAAATCAGGTACCATGAACCAAGATGTTGGAAATGTTTGATCCCATGAAATATGCAGAGAGCCAGAAACCTAAACGGGGG